TTCTAGAATTATTTTTGGAACTACAGTTAGGTGATGATGACAAAACCTTGTCGAAATGTTCTACATTTACTGTTATGTTAAACTTATATTAAAGTTTTTCTTTATTACCCATTCAAGCCGTCTCCAAGCGTTACAGTTAGGTTAGTGCGATCCCAATTTGAGCGAATAAATTACACCCAATTTTATGTTACATTAGGTTACTACGAGATGGCAGCACTAACGCTTAAATAAATAGATTAATTTTTACGGATGCGTGACATTATATTTAAGTGTCGGTATTGTTAGGTGTAGTGGAGAAAGCAGTGCGTGGGTCATATGTGAGGACCTGGTAACGTGTGATCTTCGTTGTGTAATTACAATTTCTATGTAAGCAGCCCAGAAATAAAGCGAATTTAACCTAATTGAGGAATAATTATGTTAGAAAGGAGTTTCTACAAACAGTGCCCTCAAGATAATTATAATTATTCATCGCCTTTTCATTTTCGGGTAAGTTTTTTTTACTTTCATGAGATTTTCTCGTTGATATTATATTATGGGCTCTACTTTCTCCGTGTTATTTGTGTCTTAAGATTGTTGGCAATCCAAAAGACAGTAATCTGAGATAAGTTCACAAGTCGTTTTTTTTTAAGAGGTACCCATTTAATTAACGAATAATATGAAGTTTGAAACAGCAGTAATTTATTTCTGTCTAGCGTTTCGTCTTTAATAATGGTCTCACCGTCATGAAGCTCATATATTTATTTAACTAGTTTTTGTGTCTAAAAACTCTGTATTAACAGAATAGAAAAGTGGTTTCGGTTTCAAATCATCACTATTTTCTGCTATTACTATCAAAGGAGAATCATTCTTTTGTTAATATTATTATTTTTACGTGTTAGTATGGAAAATGTTGGAAACGTTTAAGTATGTCAGGGAATTACATACCTGGATAATGTGTACAGTACATGTGCATTTATTTAAAACCGTTATGTGTAGTGGAACATAACAGTATTATATTACTTACGACATTCTGTGTCACTATGTGTAACAGATGGGAGTTATAACTCACATTCTGTGTTACTGTGTGTAACAGATGGGAGTTATATGTCACATTCTGTGTCACTGTGTGTAACAGATGGGAGTTATATGTCACATTCTGTGTCACTGTGTGTAACAGATGGGAGTTATAAGTCACATTATGTGTCACTGTGTGTAACAGATGGGACAGAATGTGACTTATAACTATTACACACAGCATATAATCATAACACTACATAACATCATATAATCACAACACTACATAACATCGTATAATCACAACACTACATGACATCATATAATCATAACACTACATGACATCATATAATCACAACACTACATAACATCATATAATCACAACACTACATGACATCATATAATCATAACCTTACACCACATCATATAATCATAACACAACAACACCGTCTTGGTAAGAATTAATTAGGATCCTAGCAACAGCCATAACACCTCACTTGGTAAAAGTTCACTAGAATCCTATTAACAGCCATAACACCTTACTTGGTAAAAGTTCACTAGAATCCTATTAACAGCCATAACACCTCACTTGGTAAAAGTTCACTAGAATCCTAGCAACAGCCATAACACCTCACTTGGTAAAAGTTCACTAGAATCCTAGCAACAGCCATAACACCTCACTTGGTAAAAGTTCACTAGAATCCTAGTAACAGCCATAACACCTCACTTGGTAAAATTTCACTAGAATCCTAGCAACAGCCATAACACCTCACTTGGTAAAAGTTCACTAGAATCCTAGCAACAGCCATAACACCTCACTTGGTAAAATTTCACTAGAATCCTAGCAACAGCCATAACACCTCACTTGGTAAAAGTTCATTAGAATCCTATTAACAACCATAACACCCATCTTGGTAAGAATTAATTAGGATCCTAACAACAGCCATAACAACCGACTTGGTAAGAGTTTATATTATACATATTAAGAATATTAATATATTTAAGTTCGACATTCTACAGGGTAGGACAATAAGGTAAGATAATAGAGATCAACACCCTACAGGGTAGGATAGTAGAGTTCAATATTCTATAGGATAAGATGTCATAGTTCATTATTCTATCAGGTAGAATATCAGAGATAAACATTTTACAGGGTAAGATAATAGAATTCAACAATTGTAATGAAGTGAACGCCTTTTTCAAGCTGGCGAAGCATGGATGATTTAATTTTACTTATCATAAGACACTACGCAGGCCTATTACATTAACACTACATTCTTAATCTAGTCCCTTCAGTATTTTCCAGAATCAAACATCTCATATTCGTCATATTTATTGCCGATGACTCGTTTCGCTAAATCCAGAGCTCTTCAGGCCGGCTGAATGTCTTATAATCCGTACAATCATGCTTCGCCAGCTTCTAGAAGATATTCACACCATAACAACTGTTGTTGTAAAAACTGTTTGTATAAATAGTGTTCCGATCGCAACTTTGTTTGTTGTATCCCAGCCGGCTTGAGGATATTTTGATTGAGCGAAACGCGTCGTTGGCCATGAATATGATGAACATAGTGTGGTTGGAATACTATTATTATACACTCTTCTAATTGTTGAAAATCTGTAAGGACTAGATTAAGAATGTAGTGTTCAGGAATATAATAGTTCTAATGTCTATTAGAGATAAACACTGTACAGGATAGTATATCTAGAGTTTAACACTATACACGGTAGGATAGTAGAGCTAAACACTGTACAGGATAACATAGCTAGAGTTCAACACTATACACGGTAGGATAATAGAGCTAAACACTGTACAGGATAGTATATCTAGAGTTTAACACTATACACGGTAGGATAGTAGAGCTAAACACTGTACAGGATAACATAGCTAGAGTTCAACACTATACACGGTACGATAATAGAGCTAAACACTGTACAGGATAACATAGCTAGAGTTCAACACTATACACGGTAGGATAGTAGAGCTAAACACATAGTTTAAAAGGGTAAAGCTAAGAACTACAGAGTAGAGTAGTATAAATGAACTTTCTACGGAGTAGGTTGGATAGTAGAGCTCAATACTCTACGGAGTAGGTTGGTCAGTAGAGCTCAACATTCTACGGAGTAGGTTTGTTGGTAGAGCTCAACATTCTACGGAGTAGGTTGGTTGGTAAAGCTCAACATTCTACGGAGTAGGTTGGTAAGTAGAGCTCAATATTCTACGGAGTAGGTTGGTTAATAGAGCTCAACACTCTACGGAGTAGGTTGGTTAGTAGAGTTCAATATTCTACGGAGTAGGTTGGTTGGTAGAGCTCAACACTCTACGGAGTAGGTTGGTTAGTAGAGCTCAATATTCTACGGAGTAGGTTGGTTGGCAAAGCTCAACATTCTACGGAGTAGGTTGGTTAATAGAGCTCAATACTCTACGGAGTAGGTTGGTTGGTAGAGCTCAATATTCTACGGAGTAGGTTGGTTAGTAGAGCTCAATATTCTACGGAGTAGGTTGGTTAGTAGAGCTCAATATTCTACGGAGTAGGTTGGTTAATAGAGCTCAATATTCTACGGAATAGGTTGGTTAATAGAGCTCAATATTCTATGGAGTAGGTTGGTTAGTAGAGCTCAATACTCTACGGAGTAGGTTGGTTAGTAGAGCTCAATACTCTACGGAGTAGGTTGGTTGGTAGAGCTCAATATTCTACGGAGTAGGTTGGTTAGTAGAGCTCAATATTCTACGGAGTAGGTTGGTTAGTAGAGCTCAATACTCTACGGAGTAGGTTGGTTAGTAGAGCTCAATACTCTACGGAGTAGGTTGGTTAGTAGAGCTCAATACTCTACGGAGTAGGTTGGTTAATAGCTTATAGGAATAGGATAGTAGAACTGAATATAAAAATTAGAAAGGCAATTTTATTCACACCATTAATAGTTATTGTTTTTACAATTTGCGAATATAAATCAAACATTACTACTATGCCAATCGTATCAAAACGGGTCTGATATTCAGCACTACATGGAGCATGAAGAGTGTGACATGTTGTTGTACATTGTTTACTTTTAGCTATTATTTCCTAGTATTCTATAGGGTAGGATAACAGCAACGTGTGTCAGCTCTGAGGAACATTAATCGCACGTGCATAACTAAAGTATTTTTCAGTTTAAAGCGTTTTCTCGAGCACTGGATAAAATATAATAGTTACATAAACAGGCCACCGTATAATAGTTACATACACAGACCACCGTATTATAGTTACATATACAGACCACCGTATAATAGTTACATAAACAGACCACCGTATAATAGTTACATAAACAGACCACCGTATTAAAGAAAGCCAAACATTTGAGAACTTAGAGGAAATTCATTATTCTGATACTTATTTCATGATTACTCAGTACTAGGGTTTAGGGTTAAAGGAGTGTACCTAAAGTTTCGTTGATTAATCGGTGCTGTGTTTAGGGTTAACGGAGTATATGTAAGGTTTCATGGATTACTCGGTGCCGTGTTTAGGGTTAAGGGTGCATACCTAAAATTTTGTAGAGTAGTCGGTACTGTATTTCGAGTTAACGGAGTGTATCTAAAGTTTGTATCTAAAGTGATGCACTAAGTATACATTGAAAGCTGTCCGGTGAATGTGAACTGAGAAAAGTTTCTTCTAGCTAGCCAGTAACGTGACGACAGCCATTCCATTCAGATCAACAGCATCAGCTCGGGGCATATCTAAACAATTGCGAAAAGTAACAACATTTTTTTAAATGTTGACCCTACCGCTTTATTTATGGCCAGTACCAACAGGCAGCCCTCATTCACAAGCAACTCACGTGCAGCCTATTTCATCAGCCAATCAGAAACGCTTACGTTAAAGTGAAGCTTCTAGTGGATCAGTTTCTATCAAATAAGGAAGAAGACAAACACAATTTAGGTGGTCCTCTGCCGGGAGGTTTAAGAACTACTCGTTCATTCTTAAATCAACGAACGGCTCCTTACGGACACATCAGTGTAAACTGGAAAGTAAAGTTGCGACTGATTGTTAAGCCTAGAGTCGATTAATCTAGACGAAGAACCTAGTGACCGCGAAAACTCTTATTCCAAGGTTTTTATAACAACGCACGAACTTACACGGTGACACACTGTACACATTCATAGCGTCTTCGAGCGAGAGTCCGTTGGGGGCCCTACGCAATGGATAGAAATTCCTTCTTGTCTGCTTACAACTTCAGGGTGTTTGAAGACGACCAGATCGTGCCTGACTGTTCGCTGCCAACGAAAGTAGATGGTGTAAAACCTGTCAATACAACAGGGTGTGTTTATCAGGTAAAGGAGTTTTCTTTAATAACTAATTACAAAATAAAAGATTGTTTGTTTGTTTTGAATTTCGCGCAAAACTACACGAGGGCTTTCTGCGCCAGCTGTCCCTAATTTAGCAGTGAAAGACTAGAGGAAAGACAGCTAGTCATCACCACCCACCGCCAACTCTTGGGCTACTCTTTTACCAACGAATAGGGGATTGACCGTCACATTATAACGCCCTCACGGCTGAATGGGCGAGCATGTTTGGTGGGACGGGGATTCAGATTGTGAGTCAAGCACCCTAACCATCCGGCCACGCCGGGCCTCCAAATAAAAGAATAGCAGACTTCAACAAACATAACTGTTGACATAGGTGGTACGCACCCCCAATTTTGATCTGGTAACAAGATGCCCCTTTGAATGTGGAATACAGACTTGTGTATAACTGTCATGGAAAGTTGCTGTTTCAGTTTTAAACATAACAAATAATGTACCCCAATTATTAGTGCCCCTCCCCCCAAATATGTTCTGCTGTCTCTGTCTCTTTCTTGGCCTCTGAAACGTGATGAGTTCTCTGGTTTTCTCTTTAATTTTAATTACATTATTATCCAGACGTGACATACTCGACAAACCATGTTATAAGGTTCCTAAAAGAACACAAATAAAGTGAGCCGTTTTCTTAGCCACAAAAACTTCTTCGCATAACCTCCTAAAGCGGATTAAGGAAAGTATGTGTTGTAACCTTCTAAGATGGGTTATGGAAATCATGTGTCATAACCTCCTAAAGCGGGTTAAGGAAAGTATGTGTTGTAACCTTCTAAGATGGGTTAAAGAAATATTGTGTCATAACCTCCTAAAGCGGGTTAAGGAAAGTATGTGTTGTAACCTTCTAAGATGGGTTATGGAAATCATGTGTCATAACCTCCTAAAGCGGGTTAAGGAAAGTATGTGTTGTAACCTTCTAAGATAGGTTAAGG